CCCAGATGATTGTCATAAAGCTTAGCTTTAAATGTAGCATCAGAGGCTTTGGGAAACATGCACTCCTCTTCGAGGATGGACATGATTCCCATGGGCTGAAAGGGTAATGAAAGTGGTTTGAAACACAAATGACCTTTTACTTTCTCCATATATCTAATATTCTGATTCTCACCTTTTCAATCAGGTCAATACAGGCCTGCAGATCCATACCAAAGTCAATGAAAGTCCATTCAATCCCCTCTTTCTTGTACTCTTCCTGCTCCAGCACAAACATGTGGTGGTTGAAAAACTGTTGCAGTTTTTCATTGGTGAAGTTGATGCACAGCTGCTCGAAGGTGTTGAACTGGAAAGATATTGAGAGTAATTAAAACTGAACTCTTAGAATAAAAAACTCAACAAGTATGCGTTGATTCCTATCTAAACTCACATCAAAAATTTCAAACCCAGCAATGTCCAGCACTCCAATGAAGTATTGGCGAGGCTGCTTGGTGTCAAGAGACTGGTTAATTCTCACCACCATCCACAGGAACATCCTCTCATAAACTGCCTTAGACAGGGCTCCAACTGCATAATACACCTCAATAAGGATGTGGCAAAGACATTTGTTAAAACTAAGTAATGTATCACCAATGATACTCATAAAACATATATGTCTTTACCTGGGCAACATTTTGTCCCTTGGTGACCCACTCATTCCCCACTTTGACCCTTGGGTGACAGAGACCTTTGATGAGGTCAGCAGAGTTTAGGCCCATCAGATATGCTGCTTTGTCAGCATCTTTGGAGAATTAGTGACATCAGTATTATTTCAAGGTTACCATCATTGCTTGAGCATGGTAACACATATTGTGTCATTGACTGTAAACTGTTTAAAAATAGAAATATTTTACCTTCAGTGCCATCAGCCTCTGCCTGCTCCTCTCTCTGCTTGTTCTTAAACTTCATGTTGCCATGATGCATAATGGCCCCAGTTAGCTTGTACATACTGTTTTTTTCTTCTTGAGTGAATCCCAGCACATCAAAAGCTTCCTGAATAAGATATGTTACAGTGGTCAACTTTGTAGACACTTAGTGTTGTTGTTTTAAAAAAAGTTTGTGAGAATGCTCAGCTCACATCAGTAGCCATCAGCTCTTCAGAGTCATTGATGGAAGCCACTGTTGTCTCTCCTTGGGAGATGAACGCGTAATCATAGGGGTTGTTGGTGATGAGTAGCATCTCTACAATTACAGAATTAAAATATAATATCTGTAATGTCATACTTTAGAAAACATAATTGCTTTGAACATGTTACCTATACTCACCCAAAAGTTCAGGCTTTGCCTGAGACAGGATCTGGTAGAAAATGTGATAATCCCTCTCAGCTTTGAGCTGGTAGGTGACACGTGACTTTTCCAGGAGATCTGATGGGAAAATAATCTATTATTCTCGGCAGAAATGGGCCAGCACTGCCTTGAAGTATGTAGTCATGGTACGTACAGGTTTCAATATCAGCAGAGGCAAGCTTTCCTCTATTGTCAAAGTGGATTCGGATGAATTTACCCTAAAAGAAAAAGAGAGTTGTTGAATTCCTTGACTTTTTCTTAGAAATTACTAATTCAAGATCCACAGTCACTTACAAATCTGGAGGAGTTGTCATTCCTGATGGTTTTGGCATTGCCAAAAGCCTCCAGAGCCGGGTTAGCCTGAATGATTTGATCCTCCAGGGTACCCTGATGCCATCAAACAAACTCACAATTTCAGATTTAAAACAGAATAAACAGTTCACGTTGACATATGTGACATTGTGAATGCACTGCATTTTTCTGATGTAAAGTATAGCAATCTATATATAGTCTATATAAATGTAAATATTTATATTAGTTGTGGAACTTTATTAAAATTTTTAAGCGACTTAAATACGGGGTCTGTAATTAATAAATCAGAATTAATCGTATTTTAATCAAAAACTATGAATGGACAAAATAACTAACATTTTTAAATCAGAACCCCTTATGCTGCTAAATTATTGAATAAATAGATGCATAAGCTAAATAATAACAATATTTAATAATAACAGACATAATCTGCTATGTCTGTTATTTAAGTTATTCAAGCATCAGATTGGTGCAAAGTGCCATTGTACCTATTCAGCTTTCAAGTGTTTATGGAGTCCTTGGTCATTATTGTATAAAAAAAACAACTGTGTAGACTGTGAATGCTGACTTTAACATTGGGGACATCTGTGCTTGCAATATGTTGATCATTGAGATGATATTTTAGGCTCGAATAGTTTTGGTGATACGTCAGCTCCTTTTTGCACAACTTGCAGTCAACATCCTATCAAATTGTCTTTTGAAGCCAAAATTAACCTACATTGTATTGCACATAAAAAAGCAATTATTTGTATTAAAATATTGAACACATTAAAATCTGATTAATGAATTAAAATTAGTGCATTAATTCCTGGCCCCAATATATATATTTTTTTATTTCAGTAATTTTAAGCTAGAGCTTTTTAGTTGCATTTTTAAACAAACCTTCTTTTCACTTGCAGCATCTTTCTTCCCAACTCCAGGCGCAGCAGCAATGCTGGCAAAGTACTGAATGACACGCTTGGTGTTTACAGTCTTTCCAGCTCCAGATTCTCCGCTGTGTAAAAGACACAAGAAAAGTTTCCTGCCAGGATCTACAACTTAGTACCACTATAGAAATATAAGGTTGCAGAGTGACTCACGTAATGAGGATTGACTGGTTTTCTCGATCTGTCAACAAGAATTTTTAGCAGTCAAGTCAAAATTACACTGTAATAAGGGATGTGTGCACAAAATAAGGGGTTTCTATACCTGCCAGCATGTACTGGTAGCCATTGTCAGAGATGGAGAAGATGTGAGGAGGAGCTTCACTCCTCTTCTTTCCTCTGTAGGCAACGACCACCTCTTGGTTGTAGACTGGCAGCCACTTGTAGGGGTTGACAGTCACACAGAACAGCCCAGAGTAGGTCTGCAGGTTAACAGGTAACAACAACATAAGATAGTGCCATACATGGCGTTATTGAATATAGACTTCATTTCACCGCAATGTTAGTGTGTGCATTGAAGTTTAGCTTTCTTACATAGATCATCCATGCTGCGTAACGCTCTTTGAGGTTAAACAGCACAGCTGGCTCATGGAGGAAGGTGAACATGGCCATGTCTTCAATTTTATCAAACTTTGGCGGGTTCTGAGGATGTACATCACACTCCTTCACAGTGACAGTCTGTAAAAGAAAACAACAAAAACTTTGTTTTACATCTAAACTGAATCATCAGCATCATAATATCTTTATTCCGGACGCATAAGAAGGTCCATAGTAAAAAGATAAAACAAGATGGAAAAAAAATCAAAATAAGAATCAAACACCTCTATGGATTATTGATTGCACACATTTTAGTACTGAATATAAATTCACTTGCCTTTCCAAATTCTGTATTAGCAGTGACTTTGTCACCATCACGACTTTGGATGGTTGCTTTTACGTACTCAACCTCTGGGTCAGGTACGAAGCACTCTCTCTTCATGTCGAAGGGGCGAGTCTGGGCCTCCAGACGCTCCTTATCCGATTTCCTCAGAAAAGAAGCAGCAGCCCCAAACTCTGCCATGGCGGCATCACCCATGTTTCAGCCTTTAGAAAATAAAATATTGTCATCTACAGTGTAAAATGCTTTTTAAGGCATATTGCTATTACCCATGTGAGAACCAAGAAAAGAAATCATCAAAAATACTTGGACCTCAGCAATATTTAAATCTATTTTGAATGTAATTAATAAAAATACAGATACAGATACAAAATACAAATCAGTGGCCAACTCTTTTTTAACAACATTTTTAGTAATTACCTTAACTTTTACAAACCCATAACTTTTTCCCCTAAAAAAAAGTTAATTGTAAATTTTGCAATAAGTGGGCTTGCAAAGAATATCTCCATATAAGCCTTGTATTGATTTTACTTAGTATTAGATTACTGTCACTAAAATTAATTGATTTTACCTGAGCTTTATTTCAGTCCCCTGGATATGTGAAATCTTGCTGCTCCACAAATAAAAGTGAGAACAAAAAAAGATCACAATTCTGCAAACATGTAAACAATAAGAGATTAGTTCTGCTTACAGACATTAATCACAGATGTGGTTTGAAATAATTTTTAAGCCTAGCCTACTGTGCTGCTGACCAGCCACAACAAAGCAGATTATTACTTGAGTAAATGTTCTTACCTCTTATTGTCAACCCTGTCAAGAGAATGATGGAACCAGTGACTCCCTTCGGGCTTTCTCTCCATTAATAAAGGTTGGAAGTCAACCAAATATGGGTATGAATATCAGAGAAATGGCATCCAGTTTGCTCGTCACAAAAGCATTCTCCAAACTAGGTTCAACCCAGTGCTGCTATTTGTTGCTCTCACCTTGAACAAAAGACTTGTATGCCAGAGTGGACATGACAAAGAAAGAAAGAGAGAGGCAGGAGGTGGGGAAGCAGCCTCTGACTGCTGATGCATTTTGTCTCTCCTAGTGACTTGCATGTGTCATTGTTAGGTATTTTTAAATGGTAATGAATGGGAAAGTTGTTTATTAATTTAAATGTATGTCTTGTTTAGGTTTTTCTGAATTTTTGTGTCTTAAAGGATATCTATTTGCTACTTAAACACCCATCTCTGACTAAAGACCAGAACGTTGCATGGACATTGGAATATTGTCTTTCTATTTGCAAGTTGAGAGAGATAAAACAAAGCAGAGCAACACAACTTGTGGGGCTTCAGACCTTTTCGGATCTTATATTCAATAATAGTTTCTTCAGTGATTGGTTATAAAATAGAGATGGAGAATAAAGAGCTGCAGCTGTCGTCTGCAAAGACACAAGACAAGGTCACAGTTGTGAGGTCTCTTTATTATCACTCAACACTACTTGTAGTTAAGTCTACAATAGGCATCCTCAGAGACAATACTGTCCCATTGAAGTTCATATTACATAAAGGGATACTGAACATGGTGATGCACTGTGTGTCTCGTGAGTGGAGTGAGTCTCACTTTCTTCAAGTGAAGGACAAATGGTGTTTATTTCCAAATTGCCATTCCTGCTGTGGTTACCCTGGATGGGTGGAGCATTGTGATGCTGAGTTCCTATAAATACTTCGGTGTCTTAATTGATGACTCCCTTAAAGCCGAGACTGAAACTGGGTTTTTATTATCACAATATGCAATACTTTTCTTTCTATATAAAAAAAACAAGCAATTTGTTGCTGCCATTTTTTGTTTGACTATGATGACCTTTTGTATATGTGTGCGTCTGCCCAATGTCTTCACAAGAATGATGCAGCTTAACATCCTTACCATTTAGAGGAAACTGCAACACCTTGACTAATCATTGTGAGTTATATTTTCAGGTGGGAAGGCCTTCCTTGACTACCTGCAGACTCCATCATTGGTACACTTTAAGTACAAGGCAATTCTTGGTGTTCTTCCAATGTATCTGTGTTAAGTGACACACAGATACACACAAAAGAGCATCAAGCAATACTTTTTATGTACCAATGGTTGGTACTTGCTCTCTTTTTCGAATATTTTCACCAAACTCAGAAAAAAGGTATTTGCTTACCTACCTCCCACAACGTAGAACGATCTCCAACATGTCTTGCATCTTGACAGCTTGATTTCTCCGATCAAGTCAGAAAACAACAGCTTTCTCAAAAGTAGCTATTGTTTTCTGTTATCAGCATTATAGCCTCTTGTGAATCATTAAAAATAAAATCGACAGTCAACCTTATAATTGAAAAATATTTTATTATCCTGATTTTTATTTCTGCTTCTTTTGAATGCATTTGCCTATTTAAATTGGAAATGATTTATTTATTTGTGACCTATAGGTTCAGGCGCGTACACAGAGAGGGCATTCGGAGACTGCCCTTGTGCTGCTCCTGTTGACATGGCATTGTTTTCTTCTCTTTATTCTTGAGCACAAAGATAACTTGTGAAATTCCTGCTGGCTGCCTTTGAGGGCTTGGTGGTTCAGAGGAGAGCTTGGGGACAGCTTGTGACGCAGGTTGTCAGGGCAGTTTTTTTTTTGTTTGTTTTATTGATCGGCAGCAACAGTTTATTATAAGTAACTAAAGGTACAAAACAGTATAATTTGCATGATATGTCATTTAAAGTGGGATGATTTATCTTTACAAATCAGATTATAAATTAATCCACATTTAGCCCAGTGTTAGAATTGTTTGCAAGTTTAAGTGTGAAAATGAATCAAGAAAGACAAGAAGAACAAAACTCACATATGAACTTGCCTTTATTTATGGCAAACGAAACCCTTGGTGTTCAGAATTTCTTGGTTAGACAGAATTTAGCCGAAACTGTGATGAAATCCTTGTGAAAACCTCTACCACAGTGGACATCACATCTTACTCCATCAGGCCATGTCCTGACTTGTCTTTGTACTTGGATTGTCATCTCTGTTACTTGTCCCTCAGTCTATTCCAGGCTCATGAAGAGAACACTTGTCCCTTCACTGAAGGTCTCATTCTCAGCTGTCCACAGCCTTTCTGTCTCTGACTTTTACAATCGCATGAGCATCCCAAAGGAAGGTGTGAGACACCTTGCACCACTTAAGTTGAGGAATCTGAGCCAACAAAGCTATTAGTAGTATTTGCTATTTGCTGTTGTGAAAGGTCACTTCTAAGGGGAGTTGATTGTTCTCGTCCTTGTCTTTGCCTCACTCATTTAGTCTATGGGCTTCTGACTGGACTCAACCTGAATTCTGAATGTGCTCGGATGCGGAAAAGAACCAACATATCATGAAATTATGGAAAGGTATTTATTTTTTATTTGTCTGATTACTAGTTTATATAGTTCATGCTAAATGTCACTTGAATATACTTTGCAGTCATTAAATCATGTGTTTTATTTTAATTTATGATTTTTTTGTATGTATTGAGAATGATCTTACAGGTGGGCAATTAAGCTCCTGTACTGTGACACAATTGGGCCTTGTCTGGCACTGAAGATGTGTGCTCCTCTGAGATAAAAAGCTTCATTAAGTAATACTAAGGTTAGTAGTTTAAATTTTTTTTGATATGACATTTATCCATGTTTATTTAGTCTACTAAGGTTGACAACAAAACATTTCACCTCAAACATAATTTATTTAGAAACTAATGAAATGTAAAAAATGAATGGGTAAACATTTTATAGTGATAATGAAACATATGCATGTAGACTAATTACTACATTTATTCCATTTCATTTCTTGCTCATAGTAGTGTTGGTTCACAGCCACTGTTGTCTGTTAATGCAAAAATCTGTGGTAATGCAAGATTAATAACACTACTCTAATTGTATACTAAAGTTAGAAACTACAAATACTTTTTTTTTCTGTTAAAAAAATGTATGCAGCATATATACAACTTTGATGTCTAAAGTTGAAATAACCAGGAATTTAATTTCTAGTCTAAATACTCTTGTCCAACCCAGTGATCACATGTGACATTTGTAAAAGCACGCCAAATAAATCACTGGTCTCAATGAAGACAGATGAAATCTACAGTGGATTGTGTGTGTAATGCACTTTTTTTTTTCATTATTTCATGCCAATCTGTTTCAGCTCAAATGAATAACTTCTAAAGTATTTAATGTACTTCTTGCTATAAATCTAAAAATATTTTGTAGAGTGGATTACTAACCTGCCTTCTACAACATCAGATCTATTAGTGGCTTTAACAACAGATAAATGAGGCAAATCTCCCCTCCTTAAAGGGAGCAGAGGTTTGCAGCCACAAACCATTACAGCAAAATCCCCAGAGTAGCAATTGCTAAACTGTTTTAAGTAGCTAAAGTTGCTAAACTAATAATTTGTTAATTTATAGGGCAAATCAGAGATTTAATCTAAAACCTGAGCAATTCTCCCAGTTTTCTACTATGGGTCAGCAAATATGTAAATTTTTATTTTCTTATGAAACTTGGATGATTGGTTTACTGTCATTAGTTTACTACTGGTATCTAAACTAATATTTCTCAATGTAATTTACAATTGTAATAATATAGTTTCTGGCAGTACTTGTTCAGAAAAAAAACATAGTAATACAAATAACCCACTGAAAGTAAATAAGTGCATTTATTTTTTTTAAAAAAGGTGTACATTTTCAGGTATTTGCAGTCTTGCATGTTATATTCAATATTCTAATGGTACAATAATGTTCTATATTTAGTTTATCCAGTCAATCTGATTTATTGTATTATGCTCACAACTTTCTTGAATGTAATTATTTTCTTCTGTAAACCATCAAAACTGTAGGCAATAACAAGTCAAGAGGCTGTTTTAGATGCACGTTTGATTTATTCTACTCAACACGACAGCATGCTTAGGGAGGCACCATTAAATTAGCAACAGGTGTCTCGGACACTTTATTGTCTGGAGAAACTTTATTCTTCATCATGTCCTTTCTGAAAAAAAGAGAACACAGGATAAGTGTTGAGTGGTATTTAAACAAAGTAAGGAGCCATTGGAGTGGAAAACAGAAATTTACACACGTTATAAAAAGACACAGCCCTTTTTTTAATAATCCATTTGTTTAATAAAAAAAAAAGTAATGAGTAAGATCATTTTTGTAGGGATTTTTTTTTTACTTTGTTCAAATTCAGAAGTTTACCAACAATGATATTTTTTAGCATTTGGTAGAAATGTGAAATACTAACTTTGGCATTTCTATAAACTCTATAATTTGGGTCAGATATTTTGGGTGTCTTTCCACAAGTTTCTCTAAACAGTGTGATGCAACATTGGCCCATTACTCTTTACAGAACTGGTGTAACAGTTTCATAAAGCCAGATTGCTCCCAAACACCTTTTCAACTTAATGTTTTCTATGACACACAGATCATGGCTTTGTGATGACCACACCTTGATGCTATTGTTTTTTGCTAACTGGTAGCAAGTTTGGTTTATTATTCTTTTCACAGACCCATTTGTACTAAAAGCGTAACTTCCTTGCTGATGACTTGAGATGTTTCTTTAATGTGTGCTTTTGTTCTGGGGTTGATAAGCACATTTCACATCAAACACATTCATAACTGCGATACAGAACCTCTCTCTGTCTTGATTACTTAACATTTACTTAACATTTCTATTATGATTGTACTTGTATCAGATTGTTTGAACAAATGAATGTGGGTCTGAAGATTATATCATGGAATCAAATGAAATTTCAGATTGGTTGCTAACTATAAGTAATACACAATATTTCTTTGAGAGATTAAAACAACCATGGAGGTGTTGTTGTTGGGTTGTTTCAGTTCAAAAAGTCAGAAATTATTTCAACCAGGGATTGTCAAGGTCAAACGTTTTGGTGTTTTTGTTTTTTGGGTTGGACATGAAAGCATTTTTATGCACTGGACATCTTTAAAAACATCTTGGAAAAACAATTACCATTTTTGTCTACATACAAACCTTTGACCCAACATCACGGCTCTTGGCTCGTAACTTGTTGACTTGAGACTCTGCGATATCGGCTCTCTCTTCAGCCTCGTCCAACTCATGTTGAAGCTTGCGGAACTTGGTGAGGTTGCTGTTGGCCTGTTCCTCCTGTTGGAAAAGCATCACATATTCCAGATAAGTATATGGCAATGTTATGTAATGATTCTTTTTTGAAAGAGCCATACTTACAGCTACTTCTGCAGATTTCTTATAGGATTTCACTTTGAGCTGAAGCTTGTCCACCAAGTCTTGGAGACGTGCCAGATTTTTACGGTCCTCTTCAGTCTAGGTTTAATGAAATAAGATGAAAGGACATTGGAAAAATACTTTTTTAGTTTATGAAAACTACTAAAGAACATTCTAGATGAATAGCTACCTGATAGGTAAGTTCCTTGATGCGTCTCTCGTACTTTCTCACTCCTTTTATTGCATCACTGGATTTTTTCTGTTCACTTTCCACCTCATTTTCAAGCTCCCTGACCTACAGATTCCACAGCAAAAGTCATTAAACATCATATTGGTTGAGATTTAGAAAACATTTGATTTGCTTGCGCAAACACTTTGTCTCGATGAGCCTTCCTCTACTCACCCTGGCCTCCAGCTTCTGGACCTGCTTCTTGCCTCCCTTCATGGCGATCTGTTCAGCTTCATCCAGACGGTGCTGCAGATCTTTGATGGTCTGCTCCATGTTCTTNGATTTCCTCAGAAAAGAAGCAGCAGCCCCAAACTCTGCCATGGCAGCATCACCCATGTTTCAACCTGGTTTAAAAAGTAGCCTTCTTTATATTGTCAAAATTATCTTAAAATGTCACTGTTGAATGTTTCCAGAAGGACTTATTAAGACGGCAATCTTATTCTCTGACAGGATTAAAAATTGGATATCATATGTCAAGTCACAGTTTTAAAACTGATTAGTAATTTGAATTTATGATTATTTATTGCTGTCAGATCAGTATTTTTTATTTTTTTTAAATATTAGAAAATGCTCATTTTTAATTGCTTGGCTTGTTTTGAAACTAGGAGTCAATAAGGAAAGTTGCTTCTAAAAACAATAATACAACTTAAATTTTAATTTCTAATTCATCTAATATAACAAAAGTATTTCAATCATATTGTCATCAATATTTTTCATTATACAATAAAAATCCTTTTGTAGCCAAAGCTGGTTTTTACCGTGGGTGGGTTAAGCTCCAAAAGAAGATCAGAATCAGTCAGAACTTCTGCTCAAATCAGATAAAAAAACAAAACAAAAAACAAATCAATTCATGCTATTAAAAAACACCATTTGCCATTCCAAATGAAAGATTTGGCATTTATTTGAAGTTTTAACTAGGTTAAGAATTAAATTGTACCAAATAATGTTAACAATGTTTATCTTACCTTTATCTCTTAATCTGTAAGCACAGAAAATGCTCAGTGCCGTGCCGGACAGAAGCCGTATCTCCTTAAATAAAGCCTGTTGATCCACCAAATATGGCATAAATATTTGGATAAAGATTGCACATTAAAAAAACGTTGTCCTAATTGGGCAGAATGGTCTGCGGCTATTTGTTGCTGTAACCTTGTGTCAAACAAGGCGAGGACAATACATGGTACAATGAAAGGGGAGGGCAAGAGGTGGGGATCAGGGACAGGGTTGATATCAAGTGACTCCTAATTTAATCATGTTAAATCATATTTCATTTCTTCATGCCTTAATTGTAGATTTATTGATAGTTTAATTAAAATGTTTTTATTTTGGAGTATAATTATGTTATAAATAATATAAATAATTTCTAAGATGCATTTAAATGGAATGTTTGCATGTTTTATCTTAATCTAGTTTGTCTTTGTTTAAACCCGTAATCTAAATGTTTTGCTAATTTCTATTGGAAAAAAATATGAGAATTTATATCAAGTGTCTCTTTAAATTCACAAATTTTTGAATAACAAAATGCTTACAACTGTGAAAGTGGACTAAAATCAAGGAACTCCACTACTTTTCCTGTCTGTATTAGTGTGCTGAGTAGGTGTGTTTAAAATCTCACACAGAAGAATGATGGACAAGGAGGGTTAATGACAAAGATTAAGACCAATTTGTTCCTGAAACAATGTTTGTGGAAGAGATCTTGACTTGTTGGCCTTGTTAAGATTCCTAATCTAAAAGATAAACTTCAGCAAAGTGGGGGTAGAGAGGCATCCAAAGTCACTGCTGAGACAATGAAGAATTGCAGCTGTCATTTAGTGAAACCTATGGTCAGAGACTTAAATTATCACTCACCACTGTTCTGCCCCACAAGGTCTACGCCCTTTGTCTCATTGTATCATGGCATTGTTCCCTCTCCTTTGGCCTTGTGGACAAAGATAACCCTGTCAAATTCTTGTCTAGATTTTTCCTCTATGACTGTGAAGGACAGCCTTTTAGGGCAGTGATAAAGTTGAACTTTATGTCATGATAGATGTGAGGAAGCAGGTGCACTGCACTCAGACTTAGTTAATTTAAACAGTAAATATTTCTTGTTGATTTCCCTCACAATTGGTGGGATTGACCTAAAAAGTAGTCACATAATACAGCCTTCTTGTGTTTTGAATACAGGATATGATTTTGTATGTTACATTATTTTTTGAAAGAATAAATTTACTAACTATTGCTTTTTGTTTTCCAAAAGAGATAATACATTTCTGCTGTTAAAGTAGCACAAATTAATTGAATTGCATATGTGGAGTTTAATTGATGTGGAAAAGGAAGAAGTAAGACGCTTAATGTACTTTGAATTTACATCAGAACTGAGACATAAATACAAACTGTTTTTGTTTTTGGCCTTTTCAAATGAGGATCCTTTCACCTGTTCAAGTTGATAGCATTATTTAAAACGTTTTGAAAGATAGAAATCTTCTAACTCCATTACACTTAGTTCTGTGTTGAAGTGTGATGCTTTGCGATGCATCTGTTAACAATGCAAGCGTCTTTAAGAATTTGATTTCATATTATTGGATTATCATTCTCAGCTGTTTCCATCCCATTGGAAATGTTAACTCATGTCACCCCACTGACTTTCATTCCAGCTTCAATCTATAACTCCTCTTAGGTGGGTCCAATTGTTCCTAGGCTGAAACAACAAATGGTGTCACCTCAAAATGCAGCTGGTTTTAATATCTGCCTCAGTCCTTGAGCCTTTGTAAACATCGCTGTCCTATGTATTAAGCAATTAACAAACTAAAGCTTGTAATACGATTGTAACAACATCTAAATGCTACTATGGACTCAGGGGGACATTTAAGCAAACATTATAGAGATTTGTATAGCATGGATGACAGGATTCTTTTGTTGTCCTGTAATCTCTCTGTAGGTTTTGAAAATCTTTGGAGGACGGAGCCATGTGAGATACAGATCAAGTATTTGGTGCCAGCTTGCTTCCATCTTCTACCTCACTTCTTCATATGCTGACAGTCTCTCTGTGCCACTTTGTGCAGAACCCAAAGGAAGGTAAGCTGAAATGTACCAATAATGCTACTTTAGTTCAGTTTTTTTAGCATGTGTGCATGCTTTAAGTTTAATATTTTATTTATTATTAAGGTGATGTTCCCAACTAAAAATCTGTTTCCCAAAACAAAAATGTAGCTTATTGTTTACTAACTTGTTGCAGTAGCAGTAGTGATTATTATGTTTGATTGGATGTTGCATTGTGAGTCTTTGTTTTAACGTTAAAAATACACCACTATTTAATTAGCTTTTAAATAATTGACATACACTCATACATTTTGAGAAATATAAATAGCTGAGTTAGAAGAGCATTACTTTGATTGTTTTACTGCAAGTGTTTTTCATTATTTTACCAGCATCATGAAGTAATATGGATGGATTGATGTACATTCCCTTTATGCTAAAATTTAATGCCTGAGAATGCTACTATATATATATTTGCATTACAACAAGACTTATTTAAAATTTGTTAGTGTTTAATCTCTTTATAAATAAAATTATTGGATTTGTTTCCATTCAGAGTCCAGCTGAATGATATGTATGTGTGTTACAGTACGTCTAGTTGTCGCAAAGATTTTCTGATCCATATGTCTGCAGCAGGCGAAATCAGCATTCTATGAACATGCTGTACTGTATAAATGTAAAATGTTTTCAGTGCAAAATAAATTGATCAAATGTTTGGGGTTTTTTAAGGACGTATTCACCACCTTAGATTCTTGTATTGTCTTCGACTGGTTTAACGTCGAAGACGCCCCTTTTCTCTGTGAATGTAAACATTACTGCTATGCAGGGGGATAAAACAAAGTGAAGTTACATCCCCAACTCACCATGGCTTTCATTTGCCCCTGTGCTACTAACACCCCAGAGCTTCTTCATATTGCTCTCATAAATGATGTACACACCTGCAGACATGGTAAAAACAAAATACCCCCTCTCAAATCAAGAGTTTTAATTCCTAGATATCCTATTTTACCAGGTTCTGAAGCTACATTAATCTTGTATAAAGTGTACAAGAACACACTTCACATAATTTTAAACAAAGAAAAAAAGAACAAAGTTTGTAACAAACACAAAGTACACTCCCAATTCTTTAGATACATATAATTACCCCTAAAATTTAAAGGGACATTTATCTTTTTCCCAAGACTTTTTGGGCTCTTTATTTAACAGTAAATGTGTGCTTAATACTAATTAAATACTTTGCCGTTTTTGGGGGGGAAGTGTGTTTGGGGGACCATTAGGCATTCAGAAAATATCTGCAACACATGTTGTCAACACATGGGGGCAGAATCTATCCACCTAATTCATGCCCCTTATGTTTGTGAACATAGGGCATTGATTAGCTGTACAAAGATGGTAAGTATTTACCTCTATTCAGAAAATAGAAAATATTTTACATCCATTGTTTTGTCCTAAACTGAAAATGGAAACTCACATGAGCTTCTTCTTGCTAGTCTTCCATAAGAGCCAAATTTATGGAGGAGATTTCCTAATAATTTTCCTGTGGACAGATTACCATCTGCTTTTTGGTTCCTTCTTTAATTATTGCCCAGCCTGTCAGTCTATGTCATGATCCTTAGGTCTTTAGGTTTTGACTTCTTTAATATTATTTAAGAGATCTTGCCTTATACAATTAATTTTTCTCTGAACACATTTCTATGGATTCCTTATTGTTTGTAAGGAATTGCCTGATTAGTTCATTCCTTTATGTTTAATTTCTTAGCTCTGTCCTTTTTACCATTATGGATTTATTGGATCAATGACAGTCTCATTCCCTGGGTTTGTAGTTTATGTATTTGCTCTCCTCAAGAGCCTCCCAGTTAACTGATTACCACATCTGCTTTCAGTGTCGTTCTCTACGCTTTCCTCTGTATATAAGCTCACACGTTTTCTTTGTTCTTTGCTCCCATTCCTCTTCCAGTGCTGCATGTCTCATTCATAACCATGGCTTGGTCGGTCTCACTCTGTGAGATGCTCAAAGCTTGGGACATTTTTGTTCCTTGGTCACACAGCTTTCAACCTCTCAATGACTTTATCTTCAATATGTCAGCTGTTTACGTTAATCTTCATGATGTTGGTTGTTCATTAATGTTTTCTGACGAACCTTGGATGCCTTCATGAAGCAGCTAAATACGGAAATGAAATAATACCCAAATCAACAGTATTTATTCAGTGAGTCCTAAAAGCAATGGAATACACTATTGGCATAAAGTTCTCCAAATACATTAAAGATTGTGGCTTAAGCATAAAGTGCATACTCACTGGCCATTTCTTTATTTTGTAGTTTAAATTATGTATTGGTATTCTTTTGGTCAGAGTTGTCATTGAACATTTTTTCTGCTGTAAACAATGAAGAAGGACTCCTTTTGTTAATTTGAATGCATTTTGCTTTATTCTACAGTTACATTGCAGACAAGGGGGACAACATCATAGAAGATCCCGAAGGTCTGAGGCGGCCATCATTGTTTCATTCCTCATCTAGTCCTTTCTGTGATGAAGAATGACAAAAAGGGAACAATAAGTGATGGATTAGTAACTAAACATTGAGTAAATCCAGAAAGGGTTACACAAAATGGCCCACAGAGTTTAAATAATATGTGTTGTGAAATAATCATAACATTGTTTTCATTACTTTCTTTGTAACTATATAATGTATTTTATTGAGGCACAATGTCTTGTGTATAAATTGTTTCACTGAGAAATAATGTAAATGGAATATGGACTGAACTTATATAGTGCTTTTCCAATCATTTTGACCACTCAAAGCGCTTTACACGAGAGTCACACTCACCCATTCGCACTCACAAATGTATACACCAAGACACAGAGCGGTAGGCAATTTGGGGTTAAGTGCCTTGCACTAGGGCACATCGACATGAAGCAGGAAGAAGCTGGAATTGAACCTACAACCTTCCGATCACAAGACTCTTCCCACAGAGCCACAGTCGCCCAGTTTCTAACTGTAGAAAGTTATGGGACTGAATAATGCAGATCATAATGAAAATAAATGAAATAAACACATATTACTGAAGAGAAGCAAATTTATGTTACAGAATTTCTTCTTCACATTTTCCATTGCTAATCTGAAAGGTAATAATTTCATCCGTCTAAAATCAACTATTTTAACACATACGCTGACAAGTATACTAACACATTGAATACCGTACTAATTGCATGAAAGCTATTAATGCAAAAAGACTAATGAACAAACCAGTTGGACAGCTACATGAAGTCCTGTCGCTGACTGTTTTCTGCTCTTTCTCGTTTTGTTTTCACCACCTAACTCACTATCTAGCCAACACTCAGACCTGTACTTGAAAAGTAATCATCTAAAATATAATTAGCTCCACATCTACAGTTGAAACCAGATGTTTTCATGCACTGTGTAAAAAGATTCATTTTCTCTCACTGTCTGAAAATAAATCTGACTTAACTGTTCCTGTTTTTTGTCAGTTCGGTTTAACAAAATTATCTCTCTTTACTTAATAATGATGACTAGATTTTTTTAAACAGTTTTTTGTTATTTTTTTTTCAAAGTCAAAACTTTACATGCAACAAGTTTAGTGTGGATTTAAACATTAGGAAAGCCCAGGTGACCATATGGCCTTGTGAGGTTCTAATTGGTCAGTTCACAACATTTTGCTTATCCAAATCATCCAAAAATATATGTAAGAGCATTATGTAATATACCCACAAGTGTGGTTTACTCTTGTGTGCAATTTCCAGATGCCTGTATTCATTTGTTCAAAGGATTACATGTAAACATGTAAAACACTTTCTAATGTTCAGCCATCATGTTGTTAAAAAGAAGGGAGGTCCCAGAAAATGATTGTGAGAAGCTTGTGGAAGGATTCCCAAAACATCTATCCAAAATGTAGAGTTTAAAGCCAGTCCCAAGAAATAAGGGACATTTATTTAAACTTTGGATTTTAAAGGAAATAAAATTCTGAAGAAAAAATTCAGAATTTTCTGGCATTTAGATGATAGGAATAGTTCTGATAAACATAACTGATCTAAAACAGGAACATTTGGAGCTGATTTATTGTCAAAAACACTTAGAGAAAGGCAATATTTTTTGAGTTCAGCTTTTAGTGGCCCATGCTTACTCCTGTTATGAAATACATGAAGAAGGAAAAAGCACAAGTACGTACTTCTACCATAAGTTTAATATCAACATTCTCTTTGTTAAAGTGTTACAAATAACCAGGTAAAATTCACTAACACTGCTCATTAAACAAGAAAATCACAGAATTAAATTTATCTGTAAAACAGACTGGTCTGATTATTTTGTTTGATTCTTTTTACACACTCATTCACAGGCTCACTCAATATCACTATAATTAAAACTTGGCCACCTTGATAAATATCACTTAAGTAATTGTTTTTGTTACTGAAATAGATGTCAAAATATATTAAGTGGATGTTTTTGCATGAAGTTAAGGTATTTTATTTACATTACTTTCATGGAAAAATGTAATTATTCCTTTTCTACTTGTTCTTAGTATTGAAACTGCAGTAGATAGAAACACTGCCTTCAGAAAAACAAACAAAAAGTGCATTACCACATTTAATTATTTTTTGTGTTCAAGTCTGGTGAAGTCTCTGACCTTTGACCCCACATCACGGCTCTTGGCACGGAGCTTGTTGACCTGAGACTCAGCAATGTCAGCTCTCTCTTCAGCCTCGTCAAGCTCATGTTGCAGCTTGCGGAACTTGCTCATATGAGTGTTGGCTTGCTCCTCCTGCAAGATACAACAGCATTGCACTCCTGAGTAAGCGCTTTAAGGTCTGTTTTGCAGAAAACTGTCAAACATTGAAGCAATAAAGTGCATGTTCGTCCTAAGTCTACCACATTTCTAGGAAATCCCAAACTTACAGATTCCTCAGCAGCTCTTTTATATGCCTTCACTTTAAGCTGCAGTTTGTCAACCAGATCCTGCAGACGTGCAACATTCTTGCGGTCCTCCTCGGTCTGCAGAGATCATTGAATGGGAATGTAAAACATGATTTATGGATACTACGTTCTCTTTAGCCTGATTCTTCTAGTCTGAATGTTTATAGTCTGATGGAACATATTTAAACTCTTATCGGTTCAATTAAAAATGCTTGGTAAAGACGGATCCTTACTTGGATTGTACAAATATTTCCAAATTGAAAATTTTACCTGATATGTGAGCTCCTTGATGCGTCTCTCATATTTGCGCATTCCTTTTACTGCTTCTCCACTTTTCTTCTGCTCTGACTCCACTTCGTTCTCAAGCTCTCTCACCTGGATACAACAAGACATAATATCTTTATTTTCTCTGTTGTATAAAGAGCAAAGGAGATAAATGTAAAATGCTGCAAATCTATAAAAAATGTTTTATCTAAATAACAGGTAGATGAGGTTTCAGTCATAAATTTCTCTATGTTTCAGCTCAAATTTGTATTATATGTTCAGTGATTTCACTCACCCTGGCCTCGAGCTTCTGGACCTGCTTCTTGCCTCCCTTCATGGCGATCTGTTCAGCTTCATCCAGACGGTGCTGCAGATCTTTGATGGTCTGCTCCATGTTCTT